CTGATCTTTACTATGCCAAGATCAGTATGATAGAGGCAAATGCCATGGTAAACAAAGTGTTTACGCACAAAAATTTCACTAAATGGCACAACCGGCTTATGGCCATCCTGGTTCAAACATGATGCGAAAATTGATATATAATTCAAGAGGGCACACATTGAAAGAAAGAAAGAGTTATCCCAAAGAATCTCACGTGTGTAGCATGTACACAAGGGAAACTCATTGATAAGCCATCACCAGTCAAAGTGACTAAGTAAAGAATAAACTGGTGAATTCATGTCCCAATCGTTTAATGATTGTTGTGTGTCCATGGGGGGAAATGTGGAACATTGGTGCATGTCCATACATAAAACGGCTTAGCCGGATCTTTTAAAAATGCGTACAGCTGATTGCTAGACCATTACTCATGAGATCAAAACCCCCAGTCTCAGATTGGGATCACGAAATTTTACATGCATCTGAGATAATACGCATCAGGTCATCTAGTGAGCATAGATTTCCCCCATCTCGATTATTAACGGGTCAAGAGCCAGACATATCCCATCCTAAGACATTTGGATGTGATGTTTATGTACCAATTGCTCCACCACAGAGAACTAAGATGCTGACTATCCAACATCAGAGGGAGAAAATAATAAGCTGGTAAAAGAAATAAGAAAGGAATCAACCATAATTTTCTTGGCAAGATCCTCGGACTAAAGAATGTGAATTAAACGTCCAAAAGATTATACATTTACAAAGGATAGCTAATCAATTGCCAAGCTCATTTGCTGACCCAAAAAGAGTGACTAAGTCATATATACCAGCTTGTAATGCACCAAATTTGAATTTGATGTACAAGAGAGAGAGAGTCAAGTTGCTACAGAGTCTAGACAACGTATGAAACGTGGTAGACCAATAGGTTCCAAAAGATAAGAATCCTCGGAAACAAAAGAAAGGTGCAGAGAATGATAATAAATCTGAGGTCGAGGAAACCATCCTAGACATAGACATGGCCGGCCGTAAGATACCATATAATGTGGCTCGGGACGCCAAGCTGCAAGGTACTAAAGGTCCTGAAATAATGAGATTTCAATCAATTATATCATGTATGGAATACAATGGAACTGAAAGAAAAGATGTCGACATAAGATAATTTATTTGCATACAAGGTAACACTTGAACTTATGAATATAAACAAAGATCATGAACCCACGTCAATCTAAGAGTGCGCACTCGTAGAACATATTGGATTAGATGAAAAACGTGGGGTTAAATAGTTTAAAGAAGAGAGGCGTATTTGACCATATGATTAAGATGCCATATAAACTAGTGGATATAAATGAATCTTTGTGAGGAAGAGAAATGAAAAGGTGGAATCGTGAGATATAAGACATAATCACGTGGTCTATGTTTTTACTTACAGCATTCAAGCACAGCTTGTTGCACAAAGATTCTCACAGAGATCATAAATAAATTATGAGGAGACATACTCCCCTGTGGTGGATGCTACTACATTTCAATTTTGATAAGTCTGGCCATAAGAGAGAAATTAGATTTGCATCTAATGGATTTAATAACTGCATACTTATATGGTCAACTAGATAATGAGATATACATGGAAGTACCAGAAGGTATTAAGTTCAAAGATAAGAAAAACATCATTGTTTTGGGCTGAACAAATCTATTTATGGACCGAAACAAAGCAGCTGCATATAGAGTAATAGACTAAGTGAATACTTAGTGAAAGAGGGCTATAAGAATGACCAAATCAGTCCATGCATATTTACAATGAAATTCAGCCATGTTTATTTATACTAACCAGCTCAAAGAGGGGTTAATTGGTTTTGTTGATACAGATTATTTTCAGACCTCAGATAGGTTATTTTTACATACAGTTGGACTGCAATATCTTGACAATCCATATCATTGCAGCAACATCCGACTGCAATAGCTTAGCTATTCATGAGGCGCCGAAGGGAGTGACCAGAAGTATGTTTGGTCGAAGACCATAACCTAACATGTCCGATCAGAATATGGAGTGGTCGACGGCAAAGAAGCACATACTGCCCAGGTTTCCTTCACCCACTAGTTGCATACAAATGGAAAGGTCCAAGTACTTCAAATTTCAACATCAACCTTCAGTGAGGTTCAAATCAGGGGGAGTAATATGTGTTGTACTCTTTTTCCTTATCCATGGTTTTATCCCTTTGGGTTTTGGGTTTTTCCTGGAAAAGTTTTAATGAGGCAACATCCAAAGCGTATTACAAGCTCTAATGGTTATAGCATCCAAGGGGAGTGTTAAAAACATATTGTGGATTGCCCTAACCAGGTCGGATAGTCCTAACCGGCCCATAGACCAAACTGTCTGGTCCTTTTCTCTTTTTCCCTTTGTATTAAGTTTTGTACTATTTCATTTTCCTTATGAGTTTATGATTTGTAATCTTTCCATTTTTAAATGACTTTTGTATACATGTCAATCATAGGTAAGTTGTAAGATTAATTGTTATAGTTTGATTGGTCGATGTTTTTTTAGTTTTCAATTATTTAATTTGATTTTATAAAAAGAAATAACCATAAACCAACTTGTTTCAGTTGCTAAATAATCCAAAAAAATATTAGAATAAAACATATCCTTAAGTAAAATTTATTCATGTTCTATTAGTCTATTATTTAAAATATAAAGTGAAATATGAATATATTTAAATGTATTTTTATTGTAGAAAATATATCATCACGTCATATATATATTAACTGAGAAGTCAGTTAAATGACTTTATACACATGTGAGTTATTATAATTTGATTAGTCTATGTTTTTTTATTTTTCATTTATTTAATTCGATTCAAAAAAACATAATTATAAACCAACTTGTTACAGTGGCCAAATAATCCAAAAAATATCAGAATAAAACATATCCTCAAGTTTATGATAAATTTACTGTGAAATATATCAAATAAAAAATTAATTTGAAACATATGATTTAGAAAGAAGCGTTCGATTATATTACATTTTTGATCATGCAAAATTTATTCATGTTCTATCAGTCTATTATTTTAAATACGAAGGGGAATTTGCATATATTTAAATATTTTTTATTGTAGGAAATATATCATCATGTCATATATATATTAGCTGAGAAGTCCGTTAAGTGGCTTTTATACCCATGTTATTCATAAGTGAGTTGTTATAATTTGATTAGTCTATGTTTTTTTCATTTTTGATTTATTTAATTCGATTCTAAAAATAATAATTATAAAACAACTTATTTCAGTTAACAAATAATCCAAAATATATTAGAATAAAACATATCCTTAAGTTTATGATAAATTTATTTTCAAATATATCCAATAATTAAAAAAATTAACTTGGAACATATGATTTAAAAAGAAGTGTTCGAATATTTTACATTTTTATCATTCAAAATTTAGTTATGTTCTACCATTTTAAACACAAAGTAAAGTTTGAATATATTTAAAGATTTTTATAGTTAAAACACATAATCAGATTTTTATTTTTTTTGAAAAATGACTTAAATCCTACTATATTAATTGAAAAGTTATTTAATTTTTTTTTATATCTCACTGATAGGTGACGTTTTAGAAAACTTTTATAATTCGATTGGTTGATTAGTTTTATTAATTATACATTTTAGTCAGATCTAAATCTAAAAATAAATTGTAGAACCAATTAATACAAGTTGCCAAACAACACAAAAATCTTACAAATAATGATTTATGATAACTATTAGTTCAATTATAGAAAGAACATATAAGATTTTATCAATTTGTTTATTTTTGTAAGTTATTTATATAAAATTAAGTTATGTAATCAAACAGTTAAATAAGGTGAACCAAAAAAACTTATTAAGTTTATAAATAATTATTTGTAAATTGTTATAAATATATTTATAATCATATATATGTATATTTATAAATAATTTAGAAATTATATAAATTATATCTCATTTTTATTATTCAGAGACAAGTTATTTAAGTGATTTTTGATTACACATAAGTTCATCGGCAAAATTAAAAAAAAAAAACACTAGTACATTTTCCATATTTGATGATTTTTAGAATTTTATTTATTTTTATGGATACTCAAATAAAAAATAATTCAACAATTAATTATCTGTATTTTCTTTTAAATTTTGTAATACCTTATTCATATTCAAAAAATTAGAATTTAATCATTTTTAGTTATATCCAATTTTTTTTTATTTTTGCCAAATCCTTTGAAAGAAACACCTAAAAACAATATCTATTTTTTAATTTAAATGAATTGAATACAATCAAACCAAGCAATGAAACATATGTAAAAAAAAAAATTTGCAAAGCTGATGTTAGACCAACAGAAGCCTCCAAAAATCGTATTGGAGATACACACACAAAAACAACTTTTTCTCTTTTGGATGTTATGATGTGTTACAATAAAACAAAAATAATACATGAAATAATTCTAGTATTATCTTTATGTAAGAGAAAAAAATTTACAAACTTAGAAATTATGTTGTTGAATTATTTTATATCTCATAATTCTTCTAAAAATATATAATCATATTTTCAGTATTAAACTATTCAAATATAAAATTTAATTTTAATATTTCTAATTATTATTCATAAATTAATAAAAACTGTAAAATAAAATATATATTTATTCGTATTATATTACTATCCGCAAAATTGTGGGCAAACACCTCGTTGACATTGAATGTGATGTTTTGCAGTGATGTTGTGAAGTGAGGGATGACCATTAACTTTCAATGGTTACTTTAAACAATATCTCTCACCAGTACACATGGTCCAAAGATTTTTGAATCCAAATATAAATTTACTTTTATTTTTTGATAAAATGATACTGCATACAACATGATCCTTAAAATGATGGGAAAAGAAAACAAAGAAGGTACATGATAACTTCTTATTAGATATTAATTTTTCGTTTTATACAAGAAACTCATCAACCTTCGCCTCGTCCTCCATGTAAAATGTAATTAGTGCCCTTCCAACTTTTACATTTCACCATTTTAGTTTCGCCGGAAAATACTGCAAAGAACAAAAAAAAGGATGTTATTATGTCAGCGTGAATATGAGAGGAATAAATAAATTGCATACTAGTATATATCTTTACATTAAAATACATTCTACTGATATATATACATTTGTATTTCTTTTACCTTGTTGATAAGTGAAATGTAGTAAGGCTTCACTTTTTCGACGTCTACATGAACTTTGCTCTTACTATATAGGTCATACTTACTGCAGTTTTATTTAGTCGTTAGAATAACAAAAACGGAATATAGATTCAAAACATAACAGCAAATAATTGAAGTATAATTACTTGAATACATGGAGCCACTTGAGGTCCTCCCTGTCTTCATCGTTCATCAAGTGTGTGTAGGTCCCCGCCTTGTGCAATGCTGCGTAATTGTTTATAAGAATGTTAGAAAAAAGCAACTGATATCCATACTTAATTTACTGAGTGGAGACCATATAAGATATGGCTGACATTTGAATACGTACGATAAAAAGAATGGTATCGAATAATGAAGAGACCAGCGTGAGGAAGAGTTGTGGCATTCTCCTTAGCCACCTATTTTAGATTATCAAATTAATAAAATTGTAAGTTTTGGTATATTCTTTTAAATCAGGTTACTTATAGCAAATAAGAAGATAAAATAATGTAGTTACCAAATACATGTAGTCGTCATGACCCCAAGACATAAGAACATTGTCCAGTCCACATCCTTCACCGTAAACTCCATTTTTGGTGTTGTATTTTGGGGTGTTATTATCAGAATTTTCTTTAAAGTACTGCAATATATATGTTGAAATATGTTAAATAATAGTATAACTTATTCTTCGTGTACGTTTGAATCAAACTTTTCTTTCACAAAATCCAAAATTAGTTGTAACTTTATTATTTACCTTGTGGTGGATATTGGCCGAGTCGAAGGCGCATCCAACAGGAAATGTATCGCCTGTAATTCAGTGGAAGACTTAAACTTGAGTATAATTTTTTTGCTATTTTCAGAATTAGTTGCAAATATAGTCCTAGACCAGTATATAGTCCAAGAAAAGTTTGTAATGGGATAATTCATATTTAATACATACCAACGACAGCCCACTGAGGAAGACCACCGAACTCTGGCAAAAGCAGAACCTTTCCAAGATCTGTATAAAAACAATAGTAATTCAAAATCAAATACTGACCCAAGATAATAAAAGTTATCCTGTGCATGTAATTGAAGCCAGAGTATTAAGAAGTTAATTTTCCTGCAGTATACATTTAGATGTTTATGCTCAATATGAATACAACCAGTATAAATTAGACTTACAGCTTATATTGTAATTCGTTTTTTTTTTTGGGGCAAAATATTGTAATTCGTTTTATTCCAAAAAGAAGGCAACAAACAAACAAAAATATCTTCGAAACTGTGGACCTTTTAATATTCAACATTTATAACGTGGGTAAGGTGATAGTTTATCAAATTCATATTATTGGCAAGTTGCAATTCAAATAATCATTTTTGTGAATAACTATTATATGAGACATGTAATGGTAGATTTTCCAAACTTATTGTGTATAAATATAATTATGATAAAGCAGAACAAGACATGTACCATGGATCAGAGCGGTGAGATGGAGCCAGTCTTCATTAGGATAATCCCTGCGAATAGCTTCAGCGGTTTGGAGAAGGTGCTGAATTTGAGGCTCGTCGAGATCGGGATCACTATCATCGACCACGTTGTTCAATAGTTCACAACATTCCCATATACTCATTTCCATCTTGTTCAGTTTTCCGTACTCCTTTCTCATTTCTTTCACCTGTCCAATTTTCCAAACGAAAAGTTTTAGCTAACACTAACTACTTGAATTTAATTAGCTTCTTGAAACTGTAAAACAAATAATATTTTATTGGTAAGAAACAAACAACTAAGATTTTTTTTTACTAAGATTTGTTTTGGCTTACAAAGTCATAAGTCTGGTGAATGTGTTGCATTCTGTAGAATTCCTCAACACCTTGTTGTCTCTCGCTTGCACCATTCTCATAATCCCTAAATAGAGAGAGGAAAAGAGTGTAACTAATTTAGAGGAAATGCAATAGTTTGTGTCCATTTTATATGCAGGTTAATTAATTAACGATATCTCTAGAAAGAGGATAACAGACAAACCTAAAAGAGTGGCCCAAGAAATTGATATCAGGAGCATCAAATCCATCAGCTTCTTTAGATTTTGGAACCACGAAACCTCCATCCAACAACAATTCATCATCCCTCACATCTTTCATTTTCTTTGCCTCGATTTCTGAATCTATAATAGTCGCCATAAAATCAATTAAAAAAATAACCATGTCTTCTGTTTTAGTGTATGTGACTAATCTTAATCTACATTGAAGATTTGATTATATATCAATATCTAGAACGCCCAAAAGATACCCAATATTGTCTGAAAGCAAAACAACAGAAAAAGCTTATCAAACAACTAATTTATGATCTCTCGACAATAATCTGAGACGCAATAATGTTATTATCACTATTATTTTGGCATTAAGAAATACAAAACGGTGAAAACACGAGTTTTTGTATGTTTATGAATCTCACAATCATTGTTCAAAACTAATCTAACCATACGATTGGGATAATTATTTTTTTTTTTACCACTCTACTTTATTAGAAGAAAACAATGTAACATTACCGGAGGTGAAATGTTCAACGAGAACAGTCATGGTGCTCGGAGTTCGATACGCAATAAAAAATGAAATAACGAGATATTGTGTAAATTGTGAAGATATTGATGAAGATGGAAGAGAATGAAGACGGTATTTATATCGATCCAATCAAAAAGTCCTTCATGCAGATTTCGAGACAGTGCAAGTCCTTAAATCACAAACTTAACTTTCATTGTGTCCTCAAACTGAAATTAATGTTCAAAAGAGATGTCACACTTCTCCGTATCTTTGTTCACCAATACCACGCGCTCACGATGGCACATGCATTACATATCCATTTAAGCAATGTTCGTGGTCGACACGCTCGAAGAATGTGAGTTAAGAATGTGAGTTTCTTCTCTTGAACTATCTCATTAATCGTTCGTTAAATTATCTCTTGACGCGGTTTTTTTATTATTATTTACTATTTCCGTTATTTCTTGAAGATATTTTTTGTGAGTGAGATCGGTTATTAATTTTAAATTTAGGCTTGTAAATAGTTACATTGACAAAACTACCTAAATCATCTACAAAACTAGAGAAATTGGGTTACTTTTTCTTCTTTAACTTTAATTTATTACTTCCTCCGTTTCAATTTATTTGTCATTCTAAAGTTTTGCACACAGATTAAGAAAACAATTAATTTTACATATTTTCAAAATAAAATACAATTATCTATACACCTAACCACTTTTCAACCAATGAAAAAATAGAATAACATTTAAAATCAATAAATTTTGCACTGAAATTATAAAACGACACTTATTTTGAAACGAAAATTTTACTCTAGAATGACATAATTTGAAACGGAGGGAGTATATATTAACTCACCAAGTTTATAAAATGATTAACCTATGTTATTTGATAATTAACAACTAAAAAACTTTATTAAACCAAAAAATATTATACAAGATAATCTTAAAAATTGGGAAATGTTAAATCAAAGAGAATATTATAACAAAGGAATATCTAGGCAAAATCGAGGAAATCCAATAGTCCTGAACTGTGAAATTATGAAATAAATTGAGTCCTTAGAAGCAAAATAAAAATCAAGTCAAGAACAGCTGTGTTATTCTGTTTTGTGATATTGTAGGAATATTAAAGATATTAACAAGTTGGGAGGAGAAAAACAAGTAAGCGTGACGTGTATGATTATCTCCATTAGCTGTGTTTTGAGTTTTGACCAACCTTTGAGTCAGCATCTACTCAGATTTCATATCCTTTTTTGTATTTTTCTAAGATTACTCTTTCTATTTTAAACCTGATTTTGTTTTTATACTATGATTAAAATTATTTGAATTCGAAGCATACCCCTAAAACTTCCAATTTGGTGGCTTGTAGACTTGTGGTGGTTAGAAAACGTATACATATAGTTGAGTTCGGTGATAAGATTTTTATTCATTATATGATATATAAATAGAATTTTGAAATATACAAAACATTTAGAATTAAGTGTTATTTAGTTTTAGATGAACGTCTAAAGTGATATTTTCTTTGTCAACTTAAAGTGATGCTAAAATATGATTTTACACGACTGAAGACGTTTTTCTTTTAAAGAGTAAGACTGTAATATATAATATGAACGAATTTCTTTATAAAGAATGCACATACCAAAAACCGTGTTTTTCTCAAGTAAAATACATGGATGTTGTATTGGGAAAACGCCATAATTCGCTTTTTATATTTTCGCAACGTCAAAAAAGCGAGAGCATATTATATATCAATTTAACAGATTTGCTTACGTGTTATACAAATAAGAAATTGCGGCGGGGATACTCCACCATTCATCGCAATTTGGCTTCATGTGCAAGTACAACCCGTGATACAGTCGTTTGATGTTAAAACCAAAACTCTAAAAACTAATTATATTTCTAATCCAAAATAGTGTACCTCCATAGTTTTGATATAGCCTAATGCAGTTATCGATAAACCATCTTCCCAATCATCTAAAATTTAGTATATAGAACATTATTCACGTAGGATGATGAATTTTGTTACTGTAATATATGAAAAAGTTGGATAGCATGTATATATATTTTAATTTTTAATGAGTTTCATTTTTATTTATTATGTTCTATTTATTTATTTTGTGTTATGTTTGGTTCGATTTTTTTTTCTTTAAAATGGTTGGTTCGTTATTTTACAAAAAAAAAATGGTTGGTTCGATATGAATGCACACTTTCAAAAGACAATATTGTGAATCTGTGATGAGAAATACTCCATGATTATTGGACCGAAACAAAAAGGGTGAAGCCAGTAAAAAGATAAAAAAAGTAGACTGACCTTTTGAAAGCGCAATGAGCTTCTGACTTATTTGTGTACGCAGAGGACACACACTGACACCGCGCTGCCCACGACGTCGACCAACCGCGTTAAATTTGAGTTTAATAGTCTACGCGTTTTATCATCTAGAAGACTAGAACTATTTTTTTGTTTACACATGATAATCCACTCTCTCGTGCATAGTATTTTAATTTTTGGTATATTTGGTTTATGTGAATTTTTTTAATCTAGATAATCACTCTCTCGTCCATGGTTTTTTGTTATATTTGGTTTATGTGAATTTTTAATCACTTTTTCGTGCATGGTATTTTGGCTTTTGGTATATTTGGTTTATGTGAATTTTTACCCTAGATAATCTACTCTCTTGTGCATGGTATTTCTTTTTTTTTATATATATCTGGTTTATGTGAATTTTTACTCTAGATAATCCACTCTCTCGTGCATGGTATTTTGGTCCTAAAACGTATATTTGAAATTCCGATTAAAATTATAAGAACTAAAGAGTATATTTTCAGTTTTCAACTTGAATCATCTATGATCCGTCCATCCGGATAAGAAAATTCTCTTGATGTTTTTTTTTTTTTGACAACTGCGTTTTACTTTCAGTGGCCAACACATATCCTACCAATTGATCCCATAATCAGTTTTTAATGGTAATACAAAGCCTTTATCCTATTTAATTATTCTTTATCACATAAGATGCCGTAATGAGTTAAAAGAGGATGCCACTAGGAGAAGCTTTAGTGGTACAGTTTGAATAGTTAATGTTAAGTAGTCACTCGTCATTGTTTTTTCACTAGTTGGTGTCGCTTTTGCGTGCCTTAACGAGGATCAGACGGCAAGCAGCGAACCATCACACACCAAGTTTGGTCAGTCGCTTTTTTTTCTCTTTAAAAATATATAACTAGGTAATTAGAATCCACGTCTCACGTCTCTAGTGCTTTGGAATTTTTCATCTAATTTATAGTTTAGGCTCTGCTTGATAATGTCTTTTGGCTTTAGACTTTTAATATTTAGAAACTTGAGATAATTGGCTAAAGTGTCATATTTGGCACCTATAATTAGAGAATTGTCCGATGTGACAATCACTTTTCTTTGGACCATTTTGCCATTCTTTACACTCTTTCTCATCTCTTTGACATCTCCCCTCTTTTTTTTTTCTCTTCAATCCCTAATTATTTTACAAATCTCTATCATTCTATATACAATTAAATTTTAAATTTCATTGTTTTTTCATAAGTGGCTTTGAATCCTCAATTTTGACCTTTTTTTTCTCTCCAATCCCTAATTATTTTACAAATCTCTATCATTCTATATACAATTAAATTTTAAATTTCATTATTTTTTTCATAAGTGGCTTTGAATCCTCAATTTTTTGATGATATCAATTTTCTGGGTTTTAGATTCGACGTCGTGTTAGCGGTTAATAAATATTGTAGACGTTAACAGAAGTGTTAAGCGTTAACAATTATTTTTACGCTTCGCGTTAATAAATGTGTTCGCTGTTAACAAATATTGTAGACGTTAACAGAAGTGTTAACTGTTAACAATTATTTTTACGCTTCGCGGTAATAAATGTGTTGGCTGTTAACAAATATTGTAGACGTTAACAGAAGTGTTATATGTTAACAAATGTTTTTACGCTTCGTGTTAATGAGAGGAAAGAGAAAGGGCATTCTCGGCATTTCCTTGCCAAATAGTTGTGTCAGTGTCCTTCATGTAATCAATGGTATTTTGTTAATTTGAACTTCAAATATGGGTAGTTCACTAAATCACTCTAGAAACTTTCCACATGTATTAAAAGAGCTGCAGTTCATCAAGTGCTAGAAGGAACATGTAACTATGGACGCCAAACGTACCAATAACCTATATAAGAGAGTCAGTGAAAACTTACATGTGAAGAATTAGAGTTGATATGCTGCAGCGCTGTGAGCTTCCATAGAATATAGTTGTCACAAAAAATCATCAATTGGTAACGACTGTAATGAATTGTTAAAGGGTGAGGTTTTGGGTTCGAGAGACGCCAAACGCATCAATAACCTACATAAAAAATCAATGAGGAATCACATGGGAGACGTTAGAGTCGATGCGCTGCAGCGCTGTGAGCTTCCATGAGATGGGTTGTTAACCCTTCGGTTACCACAAGCAAGTGCAAAAACTTCTTCTCATCTAGCAGTTTACGTTGATGACTTGTTCGTCACAAGATCAAATGTGCAGCTCATAGTTGACTTGAAAAACGAGATGGCAACAAAATACGAGATGAATGATCTCGGTAGGTTAACATATGGTATTATGTTGAGCCAACGAAACTATGCTTTGAAGATGTTGGAGAAAGATGGAATAAAAGACTATAACTTAACACATACGTCTATAGACTCTAAACTAAAGATATCGAACTCAACTGAGGAGAAGTCGATCGATGAAACAGTCTATAGAAGAAATATTGGTTGCTTATGATATTTGTTTCATACAATCAGACTAATCATATTGTGTCGGGGTTCTAAGTCGATATATGCAAGACCCTAAAGAGTCTCATGGAGCAACAATGAAGCAGTGTTTGAGATACTTACAAAGAAGTATGTCTTATGGTTAACATTTGAGTGTGCAACATCGAGAATACGACTTAAAGATTATAGCAATTCAAGCCACAATGTGGATCCTGATGATGGGAGAAATACTACGGGCCATGTTTTCTACCTAGCCGAATCCAATCACATGGTGTTCTCAGAAGCTAGAGACTGTAGTGTTATCATCTTGTGAGGCTGAATTCATGGAAGGTACGAAGGCACCATGACATGTGATTTGAATTTCAAATTTACTTGAAGAGATCAATGGTACAATGGGAGAGAAGATTATCATACAAATATATAATCAGTCGGCCATCGCTCTCACGAGAATCCTTGTATTCCATGGCCGTAGCAAGCACATACATACTCGATTTCATTTTATTAGAGAATGCATTGAAGATGGGAAGATTGAACTTGAACACATTCCTGAAAGTGAGCATAAAACAAACATCTTGACAAAAGCACTTGGAAGAATAAAATTTAAGGAAATGAGGGTTCTCATTAGAGTTCAAGATTTATCGAAGATAGATATTAAACTTAAGGGAGAGAATGTTGGATTAAACTTGAAGAAAAAAGAAACTTGAGATATAAATTATAGTACTAATCACACTGAGTTATGGAAATAGAAATCATAATATATTTATGAGTTATAAATATGTTACCCAATAGGATTATGAGTTTATAAGTTCTACATAAGCTTGAGTTTTGAGTTATTTTTTTAACTAAGTTAATAGTAAGTGTGATATACTTTTTTTGATCTTTCAATTCTATAGAACCAATTATTATATGTTATCAGCAAATGAAACTATGATTTATTTAGACATTACCTAAATTATACACTAAAAGTGAAATGCAGATTATAGATAAGATATGATTGCTAATCATTGTTATAATTCATAACACAGATTGTTAGTGAAAAGACGGATTATTGATAAAATAAAAATAAAAATAATAAGAAAGAATACCGTTTAATTGAAAAATTAAACAAAGAGCTAAATAATGTTAGACTGGCGATAAGTATCTAAATAGTAATATTATTTTTATAAAAAGCATAAAGACCCCATAAAGAATTATAAATTTAATTCCGAATTATAAAATTTATTTCATTGTTTAGATTTAAAATTTAGAAATAAAGAGATCAAAAAATTCAATCAGATTGGCTACCACTCTTCTGTACAACGAATATGTAAATCCTTTTTGATATAGAAAAGCTCTGTTTCTCAACACAATGAATGCCGGGTTTCATCTTTAGAAATCATTTATAGCCGATCACTTTTTGTTTGTCAGGTAATTTCTTCTCCAAGTCCCATGTGTGATTCTTCAAAAGTTTGCATAATTATTCGGTTCTGATAAAGGAAAAGCCAATGACTCATCTTCGTTGTATCTTGAAGGTTTAGCAATGTTTTTTTTTTTGTTATAAACTAACACATAGTCACCCAAATCTTCTTATGCTTCTTATTTCTTTATTATCAGATACTACCTCTGAAACTTCATACGCATCTGAACTCTCAGTTTATTTCTCAGTACTCTTTTCATCCATACTAGTCTCAACCGCTCTCACTTTTGTCCATAGACTGACCTTCTGATCTTCTCTGGAAGCAAATCCTTGTAGACTTAATCCTCTGTAACTCATTGCATTATTTCTGCTAATCGGACATTTCCTGTTTTCTAGTAACCATAGTTTTATACCCTCTCGACTCCATAGGGATATCTGATGAGAACACCTTTCAATGCCCTCGTTTGCGTTATCTTTGATAAATGTGAGCATAAACCACTGAGTATCTTTCTCAAGCCATATTTGTTCTAGCAAGTTTTCATCATTTGCGAATAGAGGTGTCATGTTTGACCTACACCTGAACAAGTAGTTGAAAGATGATATGCACCTAGTTAGTTCTATATACTTGTATTTAACAAAGTAACCAAGAATATAAGAAGTTAACACAAGAAAGCGTAAGCAAAGAGTAAAGGAAACATTCAAATGTAGAATAGAAATAAATAAAAGCCCATAAGTCAAACTGTATATAAAATAATGTCTCCGATCAATTTGAGTCGGATATTTTATATACATAACAATCTTCATTCTGTTTTCTTTTTTTAAATAATGCACACCCAAAAGCCACCTTCCAACACCACCTTACGATGCATTAAACAGAACCCGTTGTTTGTTTTTAAAAGGTAACCTTTATAGTGCCATCTCAGCCTGTATTGCAGCGAGTTCATCATCTTCATGAGCGGTCTGTTTCTTCTGAGGTATAGGAGTAGGACGAGCAGATTGCTTTGCTTCAGGAAGGGGCCTTACTGGTTGAAGAAGTTGGTCCTCTAGCTCTAAGCTTTCGAGGTCATCGAGTTCTGCTTCCAATTCATCCTGTAGTTTTTCCAATCAAAAGAAAAAGTTGAAAAAAGCTGAAAGAGATGTGTGTTTTGAAAAGAGTATGGGAATAAAAGGACCTCATCGAAATCAGCAGCAGAGCCAATCGGAGCGGACAATGCGTCCTGGATCTGTTTCATGTTATCGGTTTGCTCATTGATTTCATCCATTGTCTTGTCAACATCGTCAATGTTGCTGCAAAAACACACATTTAGTCGCTGCTTAAATAAAAAAAAAAAAAAAGGGGTTTAGGTGTATATATATAAAAGACGTACGTTGCTTTCTGCATAGCTTTCATAGCAGCAGCACCAATCCTCAAAGCTTCTACAGTATCTGTTGTTGCTTTGGCACCTTCTAACATAATCATCTACAAGAGAGACATATTCAATCATAGCTTATAGTAGATACTTCATAGGTTAAAAAAAGAAGAAGAAAAGGGTAAATACTTGATCATGAATACGGAGCTGGAAATTGCCAAGCTGCTCAACTTGTTGCTCATATAACCTCTTCCTTTTCAAACATTGTATAGCCGCTGCAGCATGACAAGATATTATTAACTTTCTCTTGGATCCTCTACTAGTTGTCACAAGATGATTGATTTAGAGTGTGTTACCGCGTTTGTTCTTGACCTTGGAGAAATCCTTGGCTCTCTCAACCTCTCCAGAAGCTTTCTTTAGAAGAACAGATTCCTTCAGCTCCAGCATCTCAAGAGTCTGAGAGAAAGAGCAATTCGGATATTATAACCATTGAAAAAAAACAACAACCAAAGAATTAATTTTTCCCCATATACCAACAATCTAAGTCAATTCACAACCTAGCTTGTTCTCAAGGTTTCAATTGAAGATTGAGCCAAAAAGGGAGAGGAGTACCTCATTAAGCTTGTTTAATGTGGCGAGAGTACTAGTAGTCTCCTCCTTGGGTTTCCCGAATAGCCGTGTAAACATTGTTGAGATTCTACACTGTGAAATTAAACCCTAAATATGAGATTACATGGCGACATGTCTACTACGCTAAGAATCAAGTACTATCATATCAATCCATGAATTCGATTCATAATTACGAACCTGAGAGATTTGATCCGCCAAGGTTGCTTGCTTGAATGGGAGATTATTTCGAGCGATGATGATGAAGAGAAGAAGAAACGGCGTTGAAGTTTTTTTTTATAACGATCCCTTCCTGTTTCTATATTTTTTGGGGCAAATCTTGTTTCTACTTTGTAAAGTAATATAATATGATTGATTGATATTTTCTCTTTTGATATCTTCTCCTTCTACCCCTTTTTTTTATTTTTAATCTACTCTCGAAATTTCTTTGACCTCTAATCTCTTTCATGCATTTTTTTTTTGTTTCTTTTCAATTCCATTTGATAATTACAATTACTTTCTTTTTGTTTTCGTAACGACTTGACAAACTTATTTTGTTTTAGTGTGTAGTCTATCTTATTAAAACAGAAGTACTAATAAAATATACCCTTTAATTTTTCAAGTTATTTACACAATAATGCCATTATATTTATTAATAATCCTAATTTTTAGTAATGTTGTCTTTTTCAGTTAATTCAATATATTTCTTATATTATTTATTAATTTTAAAAACAAAATCATTTTTGAATATCCCCTAGATTTTCTCATATAACAGTTTATGCTACTGATTTTTTTTTAAAAAATATAGAAGTTTAAATATGAAAATATTAGAAGTGAATAATAACTATAGTTTACATATTCAATCACGTTGGACCATTTAATAACATATAGTAAACCTTTTTAAATACTTATTTCAGTTATCATTAATGCTTAAAAATGTCATATTAAACAATATTTTAATACATACATATATTTTAAAATTATATATTATTATATATAAAATAAATATATATATTTGGAAAAATGTAAAAATAAACCCGCATATGTGTGCGGGTCAAGCTCTAGTTTTCCTTAAAAAGAATATATATTAGAATCAGTTGACAAAAAGAAAAAAAGAATATATATTAGAATCTACAAAATTTCTTTATTCGGCCTGTTAACTTTTGGGTCTCGATGAATGGGCCTTGCTATCTTTCAAGAAAACAGATGGGCCTGTGACTTTCATAATTTGTTCTCTCCATGACTCCATTACTTGATAACTAGAAACCCTAATGACAGCGATGACCACGTTTTACATGTATAATATTATGTGGCATTTATCACGTGGTTTGGTGTAAAATAAATACTTTTGTCTTTGTCAAACATATTAATTTATGTATTACTGTGCATTGTCTCTACCAGTTTTCCGAATCATCCTATATACTAATTGAAAAATCATTTAAATCATATTTACTGATGTGACATTGACATCTATAATTCATTGTTTTAATATGATTGATTGATCGTTTTATTGTTGATTTATTTATTTCAATTTAAAAAATAATCAAGAGCTAATTTAAATTAATAACCAAACAAATTATACATATCAATATTAATTATCAAAATAATATTTATTTAAAAATTTTATATTACGAATGTTTGGATTCATATGATAAATAATCTTATGCATTTAATAAAATAAATGTTTTAAGAAAAGAGATATTTTAACATTTTCCCTTACATATTTCATGATAATAATATAACAATTAGTGGTTAATAATTTTATTACTTATATATTGTATAGATAATAATATACCAAATATATATAATATAAATTAAATAATATAAAGTAAAACCTAAAATTAATTTTAGATAATTTTTCCATTAACAAATCTATAAATTCACTATTGGCTGTAAAATCTGGTATTTCACTTTTTAAATGAATTTATTAAAAAAGGAGATCTAAAATATCATTTTATATTATATAGATAATTCAAAATAAAATACAATTAGTAATTAGTAGTTTTCATTAGTTTTTTATTGTATAGATAATGATATACAAAAAAAATATAATTTGATTTTAAAGTAATGTGAAACTAATTTTAGATATCAAAAAACAAACTGAAGTTACTTTTTCATCAATAAACCTATAGAAAAGCTATATCGTTTATAAAATGGATAAATTATTTTATACGTATTCTAAAATAATCTGTTCAAAAAACTTTTAAAAAACTCTATTATGCATATTATATATAACTAAAAATAAGATAAAATTAGTAGTTAAGCGTTTTTGTTATTTGTGTATCTTATAGATTAGTGGTTTCTAAAAATATGAATAATAATTTATACTTTACTTACAAAACATACTAATTATATATATATGTGGTGTGTCTAATTGTTTTTATTTATTTGAATCATTTAATTGAATTTTTTTCACAATGTCTTTAAACTTTCTACTGCCCAGAATTGCTGGTTATTTATATCCAAAATTTACATGTTCGGTGTTAAATAATTCATGGTGAATTAATCTAAGCATATTTGGTGATGAAATTAACTTATGAGTTCGGCAATTACTATCATGTACATATCATCTTTACAAATTGTTATTTGTTCTATCATGTACATATTATTTTAAAAATATATATAGTATTGCATGTATAAACATAATGTAATAGTAATTGAATGAAATTAAGAAATCAAAATTCCATTTGAGAGTTATTCGGAAATGACATTTGGAGCATACAATAATTATTTTACTATAGTTATTGATACAAATCTAATTAAATACTACAAAAACATATTTTATATTTTAAAAAGTTATAAAATAATCAAATATAAAATATAAATTTATTTAAAATCTACATATATATATATAAGAATAAAACCCACCTTCAATTTCTTAAGAAATATAATATAATGTGCAAAAACATAACATATATTACATTAACTTTTTAAAAGTTATTTGTATTTGTGAATTCGCAGATAACCACCTAGTTATCTATGTGAAACTATTTTCATCTTAACCATGGACCAATCCGGATGAAACCTTGACTTTGAATTTTTTTTTTTTTTAAAGAAATTAGATAAATATCGATCCTTAATAAATTTCAAGTTCCCAATTTTGTTTAGAAAAAAAGTTCGGTTGAAATCTTTAATGAATCATAATTTATGCCTCTTTAAATTTCAAGGGGTCGGTCCTGGCTATTTGAATCTAGCTTTTCTCGAGAAGTAGATATTGTATGTCCAAAATGTATGTGAATCATATACACACTATTGTACAAAAATATCATAACCCAACACAAAAAAGGAACACAATAATTAGAGAGACCATGGCCTTATATGCATAAGTATAAAACAATTGACAAAATTTATACATTTACAAACATTTCTATCTAACTAAAATACTAGACACTTTAATTCCTAGCTGATAGAACGATTAATTATACTTAAGTAAATAAACATCATGTTGTATGCTATGATTGCATGAAAACACTTATTGAATGTTTCAATTAAAGCTACTTAGCTCAAAATTTGATATATATATATATATATATATATAGTACATTGGTTTAGTAAAAGGATGCTAAACCAATCAGTATAATACATAATCAAGATATGATCTAATACACCCCCTCAAGCCGATGATGCGGAAGTCGATGGTGAGGAAGAAGATGATGATGATGATGATGGAGTAAAGAGGCTTGAAGTGGATATATGAGCAAGAATGGAAGTGAAAGGACCTGGTTGAAGTTGTTTTGTAAGAATGCCAGCATGTTGGTTTGAACTTGAAATGTGCATCAATCGGAGAAATCCTTTCGTGACTTGATCACTAACCGTATGATAATCGATCTCCACATGCTTCATCCGTTTGTGGCAATGTACATCGCAGACTTGTTATCGCAAAAGAGCTTGGCCTCTTCTGTCACAGTGATGCCAAGAAATGTCAGAAGCTAGTAAAACCATAGGAATTCACAATTTCCGTGTGCCATACTTATGTACTCTGCTTCAGTACTGCTTTGACTAATAACATCTTGTTTCTTTGATTTTCAAGTAATAATCGAGCTCCCAAGATAAACACAGTAGTCAGTGATAGAGCGTCTACTGTCTGGGCAAGCTCCCTAGTCAGCATCAGCAAAAGCGTTTAGACATAGCTCAGAATAAGCATAATAGAATAAACCTTGACATGAATTGTTCTTGATGTACTTAAGAGTCATGTGCGCAGCCTGAAGATGAACATCTGTTGGGGCAGACATAAACTGACTGAGACAAGGGACATAGTAAGTGGTGTCAGGCCGCGTTATCTTAAGGTACAACTAGCGTCCAATTAGAGCACGAAATGGTGTAGGATCATCCAAGATAGTGCATGATTCTTTACTGAGTTTAACAATATGATCCATTGGAACAGAAGACGGTTTGCAAGCTAATAAGACAACATCAAAAAGAAGATTAAGTGCATACTTCCTCTGGCAAATAGAAATACCAGCAGCTGAACCTTCAATCTCAAGACTTAAGAAGAACCGGAAATTTACCCAAGTCTCTGATCTTGAATCGCTGATGAAGTATGTATTTAAGAACCTTGACTGTCTCATCATTGCTAGCAATCATTATGTCATTTACATCAATGAATATTGCAGTGAAGGAAGATCCAGAGAAATGAACAAACAAAGTGTTGTCAGAAGAAGATTAAATATAGCCAACAGCAAAGATAATGTCAGTTAGACAATGATATCACTGCCGTGAAGCTTGCTTAAGACCGTAGATGGATTGGTTCAGTCGACAAACATGGTTAGGAGGCAATGTGGTACCATGAGGTGGAGTGTAACCTTGAGGAAGACTCATATAGATTTCTTCATCCAAGTCACTATGAAGGAATGCATTGGAGACATCCATGTGAGCCAACTTCCAACCTTTGACAGCCACAAGACCAAGAAGAAGCTTCACAGAAGCCAATTTAGCAACAGGGGAAAACGTATCAGTGTAATCAACACTTTCCTGCTCGTATATCCCTTTGCCACCAAGCGATACTTACATCTTTCCACAGTTCCATCAGCTTTATATATCATTGTAAAGACTCTGTTGCATCCTACAACATTCTTTCCATAAGGGAGCAACACAACATTCCAAGTTCGATTAACTTTCATAGCATGTAGTTTATCATTAGTAGCTTTTCAAAATTAAGGTGATAACATGGCCTGCATAAAGGTTGTAGGTTCATGATCAATGGAGTAAGAGAAAAGGAATTGTTGGTATAAAGGTTTCAGGTTTAAATATGTACGAACAGAATCAAGCGGATAAAGAGAAGATGAAGATGGGATAGGTGTCTGATGAACAAAATAACAATGGTACTTAGAGAGATAACCTGGAGT